GAGTCCCGGTTGGGGCGTTGCGGGCCCCGTGTGGAAACGCAACAGGTGTCTCAGCTCAGGATCGATTCCAAGCCTCGCCCTGCGCACGGTAGTCGTGTACCCCAAGCGCTCCAGAAAGGCGTTCTGCAGTGCAAGGGGGCGGTCTTCGGGCGATAGACGCTGGCTGGGACCTCCCCCGTGCTGCGAGCATAAGTGGCAAAAGTTACGAATCCGTTCCAGAACAGTTCGCTTTATCTGGGAGCTGCGATGGTGGGTTTTGTGAATGTTGTAATGAATATTCGGGTTTCTTGAACGCTCCATGGAAAAGGTTAGATTCAGATTATTATTGAAGGTAGGAAATTCATTGACCAACCGATCGAGTGAGTGACCAGTACCTGCATCCAGATGGACACGTGTTCTGTGAGTACAAGGTCTCGACAGATATCCCGCACGGTCGTGTCACGTGTCAGGTACACCAGGGTCCCGCGCGTCTCCTGCTGCTGCTGCAGCCCGTTGAACACTCGCACCCACCCGTTGTTGGTGTGACCGGTTGGTGGCCGCAGACCCCTCGTCGAGCCCAGGCGCCTGGAACGACGTCGGCCTAATTCTCCGCCTACATGTTCTGGTTTCACTTCAGTCACATCTACTTTTACCATGGCAGCACTTTCACTGACGTAATTCGCCAAGTTCCTCGATTAGCGCGATTGTTTCTGTGTGTTTTCGTCTCTTACGTGCAATTCTACGCACCCCCGCGACTTTGCTCAACAGGGCGCAGAATTCATTTGAATACGCATTGATTACAGCCCAGAACTTGACTAAGAACACGACATGCCTGATTTCAACGGAATTTCGAACTTCAGTTGCTACAAACTGATATCCGAAACGCAAAATATAATAAGATTTCTGCACTTGATGTTATAAAATATGTTTCAAAGGATAAGTAACTTCGTATTAATTGGTATAGAACCCCTTAAATTGCACGTTAAGTGGGGTAAATACTATTCAGAAGTGTGCCTTTGTTCCCTGGAGGTTCGTAGGTTCTGAATTAATTATCATGATTTTATACGTTTGTGACTGATAAGAATCCACATCACATTTCACATTCAGTATATTTAATTCAGAAGCAATAACTCAGTTACTCGTAATTTC